TATCATTTGTTGGCTTCTCTAGAGAGCCAGGAACGATCTCACACACTCAAGTGCTGAGACGAGCCTATCAAGTATTACTGTAAGAGCACTGGCGATTGCTAACTGTTTTCGTACCGCCACCTCAACCCTTTATGGTGTGAAGATGAACGCTCTACAACAGCAGGTGACTAAGGTGGACGCTAATACAATGAACCCCAAACTGATTGTGGAAGTAGATGGGGCCTTCTCGAAATGGCAAAGAAAGGTAGCTTGCGGCGATATACTCAGGTTTTTTGATAATGAAGGGCGTGAAGGTTTCATTCTTAATATGGAGCATGGTGACCACTTTACAACAGAATTGTGGGGATGCTTAATGGGTCTAAAACGCGCCTGGGACACTGGTGAGAACGAGATTATATTAAGATGCGACTCCTTTGAAGCACTGAAGGCCATTGCAGAAGTAGAATTCAAAGCCCATGAGGATAGCAAGGTGATTCACGAGATTCAGAATGTGCTGAAATGGAGCTGGACGGTGAAGCTTCAGGCCATAAGTAGAGATGTAAACCACTTAGCAGACACCCTTGCTAAGAAAGCACTTAACGAAGCCAAGGGCTTACAAATCGTAAGCAGGGATCTGGTGCTTGCGCTTGTAAAGCCGCCTGTTGTTAGATAGTTTGCTGTCCTTTCTAGTGTATCAAAAAAAAAAGTATGCTTATAATGCATTTATAAATTATCCATTAACAAAGTTTCTCACATTAATAGCGGGATGGTAAGTTATAATCCAACTTTTTATCAACTTAACCAACATTATATACAATCAGTTATATGTAATTTTTATTCATTCATTAATTATGCCAAAACTAATTTTTTTCCCCAAAAGGTGAGGTGTGAATTACCTCTTCGATTTTTAATATAGGACTTAATTGTTGAGTTAATTTTGATTTTAAATGCAAAATCTATTTATCATATTTATCAATTTTTTCTAAATTACCTCTTGCCATAATCAAGTAGAAATGTGAGGAAGAATATTAAAAAAGATGAAGATAGTATTTTAACTAACTTTCTAAATTTTTTAATTTAATCAAATAAATTAAATATGTCTTATAACAATATATTTCCATTTGAATAAAATATCAACAAAGGGTAGATAATTGACAAGACTGAACAAGATACCCAAAGAAGGATGTGGGGTCAAATCCGTCTTCCTAAAGAGACAACATGATCATGTTCTTGTGATCCCACAAAACTTCAATCATCATATTTAAGCACATTACATGTATCTGTCTACCTGATTTCCATCCATCCATCCATGCTCCCTCAATTATTACAAATAGTCCACAATGTGCCGAATTCAAGCTAGACGTCCATTCCTCCTTCTGCCTTTCGTAATTGCTTTGTTCCAAGCAATTGGATGCCTTTTCCTAACATCATCATTTAAATATAGATGATTCATTTTATAAATTTTTTTTAAAATTTTGATTAAATTAGTTATTTATTAAAAATGTATGTTGATACTGACAAAAAACAAGTGTGCTGGCTTGTTATACAGGAAAAATTGGGAATAAATCTTCATTAAAAATTTAATTGGTAAACGACATTTAAAAACTTTATGCAACTTCGCTTTCTCAGTGTATAACTTAACTTTCCTCATATGCAATCTATTTTTCTTTGTGTGTAATTATATTTCCTTATGTCACATCTCCTCTTTATCCAATTGAACTTCTGTTGTGTGTAACACATATTCCCAAATATACAAGTTAGTCTCTTGCATCCAAATGATATTTTGTGCAAACTATCTTCCTCACGTGCAACTTATCTTTCTTCATGTAACTCATCATCTTAGGAACTATTTACTAATTAATTTTTCAACAAAGGATTTATCCCCAATTTTCCCTTTTCATAAAAGATCTTCTTTAATTATTTGTAATAAAATTAATCCTTGACCGCTAGCTTGTGCAAAAAGTATGAATGGGAGAATTATAAATTTCAGAAATAAATATATTTAAGACTAAAATAAATTTCCTAACTAGATTATATATAGGATTAGAGGGAGTACAAGGATTTCTTTAAAATCATTTAAAATTAATTAATATTTTCATAATTTTAAAATTAAAATAGTTAAAAAATTAATTTAAAATTAATTAATATTTTCATAATTTAATTTTTAAAAAAACAAGGAGAGGATGCCCGACATTGATTAAATTACCTTACAATTGTTTGTCATATGCATGAACGATTGATTATTGAAATGAGTAAGGGGTTAAAGATTCCAATACTTAATTATTGGAGTGGGTCACCAATGAACATGGTTTATGAGTATACAGTATATTATAAATAGAATCATATGCCAAAGTACCTCTGAATATTCCGCCTCAAACATCGCAAAATAAAGATTCATATAAAAACATTTAAAAATATATAATTATATTGGAAAAAAACGTGGTAATAGTAAGGGCGAGCGGTACAGATACGTACTTATAGAAAAGTTGAAAGTAGCAACCGATGAAATTCCCAAAGACTGCACTTGTATGTGTGTGTACATGTGAAAGCAACCCTCCAATAATTTCGTTTTTGTTAAATAAATCAAATTATTTCATCCATGTAAGTGCAAATTATTATTTTATCACCACCCTTGGGTTGTCACCCACAATATTGCATGTGAAAGGGAATAAATAAATTTATATAATTACTCCTTCAATAATAGCTTGCATTTGCGAAGCTGTTAAATATAAAATCATAACAAGTCATATACATTTATTCGATTTATTTTTCTTATTCTACAGATGAGTAAGTGAATTTATAAAATAGGAGCTTCTGATTGGGTAAGAGTAATTAAATACTCATATAGTTAAAAATTATGGATATTTCTATTATCATATCCATAAGACACTTCCAAAATGTGATTAAAATTTGATAATTTCTCAGTTTTGTCTCTATTTAACATATATAAAAATAATTTATAAAATATAAATTAGGAGTAGACTGATACGTTTAATGCTATAATTTATATAAATAAAAATACTCTCTTTTTTCCTATAAATGAAGTTAGAAGAGTAGGTATATCTATAGGTGATTGACAAAAGAAGATGATAGTGTCTGTATCTTAAAGGGGTTTGAAATTTCCAAAAAGATAATGATAATATTGTAAGTGTGGATTATTTTGGTTGCAAGTACCAAGCAAGCATGTGGGAGTGGGATGTTATTTTAATTGCAATGTGGCAGTGAAGAGAATACCCACATTGATTAATTTGTTGAAACCAATGATGGAACACACTTTTTTTAAAATCCAAGGAAGCTCTATTGGGAAGCTAACATTTGTTCAGAAGGTTTTTATAATAAATAAATAATCATCACAATACATACAATGGTCCCTCCCTCCAGTACTATTCCTTGTCCTTGTCAACCCTTCAATTGAATCCAATCTGCATTCTCCATCTCTTCACATTCTTATACATTACCCTATTTATACATATAGTTTAATTGAGTCGAGATTAGATCATTCATCTATTAAGGAGTGTTTAGATTAGTCTTTTAAAAATAATTTTACAGTATATAAAAGGAGTTTTATCTTGACTTGCTTGGAAATATTTTTTTTAAGTTCTTATAGTGTTTTACAGATATTCCTGAATAAAGAAAGCATCTCAAAAGGAGAGAAAATCCAATTAGATCGGGAGCTATGGAAAAAAAAAAAGAAGAAGGAGTGAGTGAGTTAAAAACTATATTTCAATTCAAAATTTTCAATATAACAGATTTATGAATGCTTTTATTTCTATACATTTTTTAGTCGAAATTTTTTAAACCAAAACTTCGCCACCCTTTTTTACATCAACTCAATTCACATTTGATTCCCCCCCCCCAAAAAAATATTATTAAGGTTCGCACAAGTCTTACATTTAGAAAGAATTTATAAAAATGCTTATAGATTATCCATCTCTAAGATTCACAATTATTTGAGGCAACCTTTTTGGTTTCAAGATGTTGTGGGCAATTGGGAACCACATGCAACATGGTTCTGAACACAGCTCTCAACCATAGTATCATTTGTATATCATGAACACTATGACTTGTCTTACATCATTATTGTGGTCTCACTCATAAGGTAGGAAGAGAAGAAATTCCTTTATTCTAATTATAAGGCATGCTATTTCAATGAAATATGTTAAAAGTGACTCGTGATAAAAATAAGTGGTATCAATGATAAGGAGAGGGGACCCAATATAATTAAAGAGGGGGCAGGAAAGACGGGATAGTGGGGAAGATGCTGGGGGTTTCAGGAGTGGTGCACGTTCCAACATCAGCTCAGAACATGAGATTTGAGAAGAGATAAGAGCATCACATGCCGTGATATTGGCCTTTGCAGCTAACAACTGCTCTACAATTTGCACCATTCGCTCATTCTGACTCCATCTTCTTTCAACTTCCAAGCCCTCCCTCCCTCACTCTGCATCCACCAACAACTGCACACCATGTGTTTGCTTTTATTTCCCCTTGAAAACACCCTAACTGCTGAGATTACAAGCGGGATTGATCCTGTGGCCTTTCACTTATAAGTGAGTTTTCATATCACTAGTCCATAGTCCATGAGGTCATAAGCAAAACATCCTAATTTCATTATATATGAAAACTATTTCTCATCTTCACTTTCACCTTTTCTTTTTTTTTTTTTTTCCTTTTTTTTTGTAGTTGTGAATTATATACATTCACTTTTGTGGTTGTAAGAAAATGTAACTTGTTAGAGAGTGTGGGCTCAAAATATAATGTGATGTTATCAGATGGGTGGAACAGAGGCAGTAAAAAAGAAATCACGTGCGAGAAGAGACTGTGGCCCCGTGGAGCATGTGCTTAGGCTCAGGGGGCTACCCTTTTGTTTTACTTTTATGAGATTTTTTTGGGGGTGGGGTTGTTCTTATATATGCTCCTTAAATTTCATCTATAGCCTCACCTCTCGGATCTGGCCTTTCTCTTCTACTTCACAGACTTCCTCTGCAACATATATAACCTATTACACTTGGCACTCATATTCAGTGACCCACCAAAAATGGCCTCTTGGAAGAAGACTATCACAACCCCATTCAAAAAAGCCCGCACTTTCTTCAATCATCAGCCTCCAAGGGAATCTCCAAACAAGTCTCAGTCAGGTGTGTGCGCGAATGCTTAATTATCTGAGCCTATTTACATATATCAGTTATCATATGTGTGTTGATTTGGGGCTTGATTTTTGCAGAGCAAGAGAACAGAGGAATGGATCTTCAAGGTGAAGTCATGGCTTGTGGTTATGAAGATGTCCAAGTGATGTGGTCTATTCTGGACAAGTCCAAATCTAATGCCTCCTGCAATATCAGCACTTCCTGATCTATTTGATGATCCTACGCAGAAGAACAGATTCCCACCAAGCAATTAGCAGATGTTTTAGTGTGCTGATGTTTAGGTCATAGATTGCATCATACCATCTTTTCTAAGCTAGCTACTTATATAACTAGCTTTTGAATGTGATATGAATGAACTTTTCTCTGTAAAAATAGGGAGCAAATAAAAGAAAAGAGAAGGATGATGTTCTGGTGTTCTTGGGGTACGTGGCAGTTTCTGTCTGTATTTTCCGTTAGGATGTTTACAATAGGGAATCCCCATGATTGACAAGCAAAAATCATGGTGAGATTTTTTTTTTTTTAATGAAAGCTAGATTTTTTTTTCATTTAATTTTTTTTTGGCTCTTTTTCTAATTTGTTTCCTTCCATCATCTGCTTGCTTTCTGTCTCTGCCCTTATCTCTTGGGTATGGTCTATGAGGAAGAAGAAGGAAGATAGGATTCCATGGGATCCCACCTTGCATGATTGAAATGAATATTGTACTGTTAGTTGATGTTGACGTGATTCTATAGTTCTTTTCCTCATGAAATGCCTTAAAAGCTCAAGTGATTTTTTTTCTTCCATGATCTGGTAAACCTAGTCATTAGTAACTGAGTGTTAATTTGAGCAAATCCGTGTGATATGGTCGAAAGCAAAGAAAAACAATGAATAGAGAAAAGAGAGAATTGACTTATTTATATTGCTCTTTTGGGTGTGATAATGTACATACTATACACAATACACAGTTTTGTATCGCAGAATGAATGGTCTGTTAAAAACAGTAAAAAGTTTATGTAGGCTCGATTCGAAGTCGAAGGGAGATATTAGCCACATAATGGAAGATTTTTTTGTGTCCCTCCTTTGACAGGATGAAAAAGACGGGCCCGGGACTAATTAAATGACAAACATATAGGACAAGTTGCCAAGTTTCTTGAAATCTACACAATGCCCGGTTCAAAGTTCAGACCTTATTCTTGAATATTAAAAAGTATTTTAATGGAACGCAATCATCACATTGAACTTGGAGTTATTGACATTTAGTGTGTTTGGAATTGATAAACAACTTGATAGATTGAGTCTTGAGGAAAAATAAAATAGAACTTATCCTTTTAAAGATAGTACTCGTTCGGTTTTATTATATCTATCCTTCTATGTGTAAGGATGGAGAAATTATTAATCTTCCTTGGAACTTCATTAAATAGGATAAAATGGTCAAGTTTTTCAACTTCGTCTTCGAGAAGCATGTGGCCACGGGGTCGGTAAAAAGATTCCTTTCCCCCTGTGATGAAGATGATGATAGAGGTGGGACCAAGTTTCACGTCGAAGAGTTGGCCACTAGTGAGGGGAATTGTAAACATGTGAATATATCTAAATGTCCCTGACTTCCCTGAAACCCTTTCAAGGGGACCCACCTACAATCACATTTAGATAGCCTGAGTTGCCAGAGAAATTATGTTGTTGGCATGCAATACACATGACATTTAATCCCCACATCAAACTTTCAGAGCCTGGCAGGTGAAAAAACTATTCTGAATTAGTTTTGAACTTGAAATAGGAAGGGAAACTACTAGAACCTAGGGGTGTGCATGAAGCCCTGAAGCCCGCTAAGCCCGCCCAAGCCTGAAGAAAAATTGCCCAGCCCAACCCGAAAAAAAAGAGCCCGAAAAAGAATGGGCATCTTTGGGCTGGGCATTTCATGGGCAGGGCTGGGCATTGGGCAGGACATGCTGCCCTGTCCATTTGACCCTGCTCAAATTATATATATATATATATATATATTATAATTTATGAAATAATATTAATATATTACTTTTTTTACCCAAAAAAAAAGTTATCTCCCTCCCCTTTGCAATTTAATTTATTATTGTCACATGTCTGTTAGTTTTCATTTTAGGGGATTTAATTCTTTTAAAGAAGCAATAGTATTTTGCTTTTAACTTGTTCTTAGTGAGTTTTATTGGGTATATCCTATTGTGTGTTGCTGTTGTAATGTTGGCTATTTATAAGTCAGTCTTCCCTTCTATGCCATTAACAACTTTCTTTGTTAAAAAATGGAGTTCATACATTATATATTTGTATAAATCAACAATTTGAAATATTTATACAAGATAGAAAACAAGATTGGAGTAAGAGCAGGAAAAGAAAATTGGGTTTTAATTATCTGAATTACATGTTTTATGTTTTATTTAATTTATATTTAGTTATTTTGTATTAATTTTTTATGAACAAGTCATATGATGGAAAGAAGTCTTTTAGTTGTATAGACTGCTAACTACATTGTATCGCATAATAAGTATTTGCATATTAAAAGGGGTTATATTAAATTATTATAAGATTTTTTATTTTTCTTTTTTACAATTATTTTCACCCTATTTTTATATGGTCTATATTATTACTGTTAGCCCATGGTTTCAGTTTTAATATCATTTTGCAATCTTTTAGGTAACATTTAATTTTGCCACTTGAATGGATAATCAAGCTTCTATTATATCACCATCCCCGACCTTCAATGGAATATCTCAATGTGCTTCAACCCCTCTTCAATTTTTTCAGATGTTTTATTCTTTTCTCAACTTTCTAGAGATTGATGCGAACTGTTTGAATTTCAAAGATTTAATTACAATGTTGAGAGTTGTTTTGTTCTAAATGGATTATGAATACTATTTATTTGGATATTTGCTAAGACTTGTTTTGAATTATTTCTAGATAATTTCAATGTGTGAAAATATAAAATTATGAAATGTAATTTTCAGTTATGGACGAAAGTTTTTTTACATGTGATATCGGCAAGTCATCACCATTTAGGCAGCAAAGCCCGCCCTGCCCAGCCCGCCCATGCCCAGCCCAAAATAGTTAGGGCTTCTATGGGCAGGGCCGGGCATCGGGTTGCAAAATGTAGCCCGCTCATACTTTGGGCTGGGCATCGGGCAGGGGTCTTGCCCTGCCCAGCCCTGCCCATGTGCACCCCTACTAGAACCTGAAGGAGAGACGCAAAAAAAAGTTGACCATCGTGGACCAATCTAAGCCAGAAAGCCATCATTGGAATTGCCAGTGAAACTACTGGTAATTGACACCACAGTACCACCAAGTTCAAACAACGACAATGAGTAAGCATCACTATCAACATGACTATGCGAATAGACAAGGGTGCAAACATCAGAACATGAGAGTATTTATGTACAATCTAAAAAATATGCATGCTTCGAACTGGATTGACAGCTCAAGGGGTTTTGGGATTGATAGAGCATGGAAAAATACCTCTCATTCATCGCTCAGTAATTTCAGGTTGCCGTTTATATAGGCATGTGAACATGTGAGAATAAACACGTGTCACGAATATGTATGAAAAATACAAGAGGTCACAACAGAATCCTAGAAACGACCGTATAGAGAACAAGTGTATTATTTGGCATGAGCAGACGCGTGTGACGGTGAACCGGCAACAATTGCGCTATCAACAGTCAACTTGTATACATTATTAATCTTAGATAGAAGTCTCATTTATAAACGATTTCCATCAAATGTAGATGAAGATTTCTGAAAACTTGAGTACTTACCAGACAATCGCATGTTATTTTATGCCCCTAGTTCACAAGCTGAGGTTACGAGTCTCAGCGAACCTCAAGTTACTTTCCAGCAGGTGCTTGAGTTGGCAAGAGTATATATCTTTTCTTTTTTTTTTGGGGGGGGGGGGGGGGGGATGCCTCCTAAACTTCTAGAAATCACATACTAATACAGACAGCAATAGACTTTGTACTATTACATGAGAGGCAGAAAGAGACTTAAAGAGTTCTTTCCACAGGATAGGAGGAAAAAAGACAACAATGGGGAGCAAGGGTCTTAGCCTGCACAGGCCGTATACATTGCTTTTAATGGTGCATCTTAATCTGTTCTTTTGAGAATAAAGAATGACTAACCCTGCAACATGTCACCTGAAATTTCTTTCTTCCTTTGCTTCCAGAGCATCAACTTCCTCATTGGACAGAAGGTCCACAATGGGTTCATACACATCCCACTCCTTTCTTTTCCTGATACATTCAAAGAAACAGGCAAAGCCTGTCAGATGTTTCATTTTAAATTAACTAAACAATCTTATCATTAAGTACCATGGTTACAAACAAAATATAAACATGACAATTGAAAGGAAGGTTATGTGTATAAGCTGTTGGGAGGATAGAAGTATGATGTGAATGCTAGTACTAAGATATAATTGTAATAATAGCAGCATATAGGATTTATGTTGACTGTAACTAAGGCTGTTATTAGTGGAGTTCAATGCCTTGTCTTGTACTTCTGAGTATTTACCAATAAAGATATGGTCTTTCCTCATGTCTATCTCATTTCACATAAACCAACACTAATCATTGGATACAATCACATAGAAGACAGTATAGACCACAAAAACGGAAGTAAAATGTATGTGTGCGTGCATAAGGTAGCAAAGAGGAAATGACATGCAATTCCACAAAGCCTGGCAAGGGGAAAAAAATGAAAATGCTGAAACATTTGCCAGCCCAAAAGGAAAACAAAACTGAGATACAATCACAAAATTTGTCAAGCGATAGAAACCTGCCTCGGGCAACTTCTGGGGCACAAACTGAGTCACTTCTAAAACCAAGCATAATAAGTTAACTCTTATTACATCCTATGATTCACTTAACTACCTAGGCATCATGACTACATGTCGAGTCCAACATGATAATAAACATGTCATGAAATACTCCTTTGGTCCTTAATATAAAACCTAGTTAACTAATTTAAATAGATTAAGAATATTAGTTAAATTAGTTAATATCATATTTTTTTTAAAGCACCCTAATCATGTTCCTTAATTTCCTCCCTCCCTCCCTCTCTTATTTAATTATTATTGAGAGAATATCAATAGGATGAATTTGGAAAAAAAATTGATAAACATATGAAATAGGTCTTACATATAAGACCAATATTAATTATCAAATTAGATCCTACATTAAAGATCGAAGGAATACCAAATTTCATCAAAGAGCTTAAACTGACTCACCGAACAACACTAGATTTCTGACCAAATAACTTGACCAAGTCCACTGCTGTAGTGCCTCCTTTACTGTTGATCAATTGATTGGCAAAGAGACAAACGGAATAATGGATCAGAAATACATATGATGACATGAGTATGTAGGATTTTTCACCACATAAAATCTTTCACCAGATCAAATGAGGTATGAAACGAGTGTAATAGAAACCTGACTGGAGTATATTCAAATCCCCGACGACCCTTCTTGTTCATCCTGCTTTCTCTTGCTGAGACTACACTTTGAATTGCAATCTAAATATATATATAAAAATTAAGAGTATGTTAACTCGATCAAAAATAACTTTGGAACATGACATATCAATCAAGCAATAAAATAACTGACCTCATAAAGCTGCTCTCTGATCGCAAATGCAATAGCAGGCTGCAAAACACGGGTGAAAACATGATGTCTTTTCATCAGATTATTTTAATCATAACACAAAAATGTATTACCAAAGCGAATTAATTTTGACACAAACTACCTCCTGCTTAATGTAATAGGACAGGATAAAATTTCACTTAAAAATGGGAGGCATGGAGTTCTAAATTCTCCCCTAATGTGTCCACAACAGATGGAATAACTATAGCATAGAGGATTAGGAGATGACTAGATATACTTACTCCAACCTCAGGGTCTTCAATAGCCATATCTTTGCAAAAGGTTCTAGCAAACTCTTCAGGATCACTCTCGAAGTTGTTCAAGTCCTAATTAGACATATACAAGCAGATAACCAAATAAAAGTGCTGCAAACAGAATTTAAAAATTAATGATTTGATCTCAAAGCCTCAATCTTACCCATAGAAACTGGTCCTTTATGAGAGTATGATTTACACGAAGATCAAGCTGTCAAAAAATAACTAAATAATTATGTAAATGAGCATACAGTATAAAAGAAAAAGAAAACAAGCATTCTATTCATTTTATTTGGCACGCAGAAGAATTCATTTATAAGATGAAAGCAGGATCAAATGTTAGGATATCGAGAGAGACCTTGATAGGAACAATCTTCTCTCCAGCATACATATCCTGTCCTTCGTATGATCGGAATTCTGCCAGCTGGGACTGAATAATAAAAGTGCAACTTATATTCAACACAGGGTTTGGGAAGGGAACATGCATGTAAAGCGACATCAGAAGATGTAGAAAAATTAGCCAGGTATCATATGGAATTGGAAAGTGCTATTGACAAGGGAAGGTAGTATTGTAATATCTCGTAACTTGAATGGATTGAGCAATCTGTGTGACAAAAGCTGGAGGCAACTTTAAGTCTTTAACTGTCCTTTTTGCAAAGACCACCACCTCTGAATCGGGATCTATAACATGGAAATTTACGGCATGAATTCATCATAGGTAAAAACACAAGGTGAACATATTAATATACTGCTATACCATTATCATTTCAAAATACACGCACATAGAGAATTTGTTTAAGATTTCAAATTAACAGATGGCGTGGGCCCGAAACATGGAAAATTCATGGTACCCAAGACATGACCGTTACTTATATCATAATTAAGAAACAAGTTTTAACATTGCATACAATGAAGATCAGCAGCAGTCATAAGCCAACTTATCATACACTGCCGTTACTCGGAAAATAAGATGACCATCAGCAGTGACATGCCAAAGTAACCTAGAGTGCCCACGGCTCTGAAGAAATATTATTTATTTTCATAAGCGTCTCTGAAGAAATATTAAGCCAGTAGCTGATAGTTTAGAGCATATGTGCCAGAAGTAAATCTCCAATGTAAAATTAGTCTGGCAAGCTACAAGGAAGCAATTCCCATAGTTATTCTTATTGTTGTTATTTTCGAATAATAAGAAGAAACTAAATTATAATGGAAAAACGAAAAGAGGAGAATAATGGATAAGGAAGTAGCGGAAGCCAACAATAAAGGAGAAATTTACCAGAAGGGTTCCAAGTGAAAGCATCCTTGTATCTCTGGCCATCAATTTCGATATCCAGTCGAATGGGTACCAAATTATCAGCAGTTGGGCTGCGAGTACATACAACATTTACCTGATATTATCCAGAACCGGAACGGAAGCGCACAGCGAGAAAAGAGAGTGTTTTTGAACTTACATTCTGAACTTGACGGGGTTTTTGTAGAAAGCAGATGGAGGGGTCTTCATCAGGGGTTCCCCTTCGCTACTTCAGCCAAATATTATTGTTCGTATCAAAATCTTGAATCCCTTTGGGTTCGGTATGATAAACTGGAGATGCGCTCAAATTTGTGAAAAACCAGTTAGCTTCAGCCAGAAGATCTTCCAATTCCGTCCGGGCGGGAAGGGAATTAACGGAGAATCCCGCACCGCGTTTCTGGCGAGGATGGTCAAATTTCAGAAATGATTAAAGGCCCCATTATGAGAGATTTTTTTTGGGTAATGGACCTAATTGTGTATTTGGGCTTGAATTTCTGACAAATTAGTAGGCCAGCCTTGGCGGCCCAATAGTCTCTTGCGTTTTGGGCTAGCTGCTCCATTTATGTATACAGTATTGAAGAATTAAACAATATGTATATAAATTATTGAGGCAACTGATCTAAATATGTGTGTATAAATTACTGAGGCAACTTATCTAAATTTTTATATAAAAATAAGTAAAATATTGAGCCAAAAATATTAATTAATTTTAGATAACAGTGTATATTAGTTGGAGTAGAGAGTAGAACTGTAGAAGAGAGTTTAGCTTGTTTAAAGTGAAATTTTAAGTTCTACCTTTATAAATTAAAACAACTAAAATATGAAATATATGAGAGAGACATTTAAGGACCTCCAAAATACAGTAATCCCAAGATGGTCATTCAAAATGTCTTAATATATATGAGGTTTTTAGAGACCATTCTGAAATTTTTTGTAAAATTCCTTAATTGTCTTTACGTACAAAAAAGTTCTCACCACCGCTGATATATTATGCATGAAGATTTATAAATAATAATACTACTCCCGGTTCTATTAATGAGACCTCATTTATAGACTACAAACTCGCTCTTATAAATAGGACCAGAGGTAGCATTTAAATTATTATATATTAAAGTATTAATGTTTCATATCCCTATTGCGTTTTCTCTTGTTACAAAAAGAAGTTTGCTGTGGAAATAATACCGAGTTTTTCCATGCCGAAAAAGAAAACAAGTTTTTAATATAATAATTCCCAAGACATTATCCATAAAAATAAAAAAAATCTCGAGTCTCAACTAGGAAGTCAATCTTTTTTTCCCCTTAATAAGAGATGTTAATGTTTTAATCCATTGCAAATTTTGAATTATTGATATTAGAGAAAATAAAAAAACAATATCTATTGAATTTTAAAAAGATAAATAAGTCATACTGTTTACTCTTGTAATAGTTTTTACTACTTAAAACCTGTCAAAATCACCTCTTTATCATTTTAAAATTTACTAGGTATTTGTCTGTCATTTTTTCTTGATATTACTTGTCTTTATGCCACCCCTAACTACTATACACTGTATGTGTAAATTAAAATTAAAATTGGTGTCATTGGATGATGTAAAATTATTAAATAGAGACAGTGAAATCTGTATGATGCTCAATTTGCATTTGGTTGTGCAATCACGTTACCCTTTACCTTCACTAAGTTCACGGGTAAAGTTGAAACAAATTCATCTTTAGATGATTTTGAGTGGACAACTTTAATGTTGACTTTACACTTTTAAAAAATGATAAATAAATTATTAAGTTAGGGGAAAAAAAATAGAGAATCTTCTCACTTGACGGCTTTCTTTTTATTCTTCTTCTGGGGAAAAAGAAGAAGAAGAAGAACTGTAATTTGCAACTACACGCTTGCTGAAAGTTAAAATATGCTAATAGTTAATATGATAGCTAAATAAGTAGATTGTGAATATTAAAAAATGAGTTAAATTAATTATTTATAGCAAATATATCTTCATTTTCCCCCACTATCATATGTAATCATATGTATTTGAGCTATTTCTTGATTCAAAACTCCTTAATACATGTAATTCAGAGAGATACCCTAGCCAAAGATTATGAATTTGGAAGGCAAAATAAATTAAGATATCATATTTAAGATTAAAGTGAATTTTTTGTCTGGCTCTTATATTTAAAAACAGATGAAGAGACAATAATTATTAGATGTTGACAAAGGATAAAAAGAAATTAACGAAATAGAGAAAAGGCGAGAAAAAGAAAAGAAGGAATAAAAATGATTATGCAGATAAGGCATCGCCATCAGTTGGTGAAACATGGAGGTTAGATGCAGAATCAAATTCAAAACCTGAGTTCACATCTCAGAGAAAAAATGTTAAATGATGTTATGTCATGAGTGGGGGGCACCACACGTGTTTAGAGACAAGACTTGTTCTAATTTTGACATTCTTAAAGCAAAATCTCTGTTCCTGACACGAGTGTGGGAGACCACCACCACCATCATATTCTTCCCCAACAAAACCCTAACACACAAGCAAAACTCAGGCTCCAAGTTAGGTATATATATAAATAAATACTATACATATTGCCTTCCTTTTTCTTTTTTTCTTTTTTTTGCCCTTTTCATTTTTATCAACCCTTCGAGCACAAACTTTTGAGTTCCAGTTTCTTCTTCTTCTTTTTTTTTTTTTGGGTTCCCTGTCGGATTACTTTTCAAGCTTAATTTGTCTCCAATACAGTTGTCATTTTAACTTTTAAATCGTTAAACTGTGTTCCAAAGGATTAGATAAGTTATGTGAAACTTACGACACCTCTCGCAAACATATATTTGATTCAACCAGGTGATGTGTGAGTGTGACATTAGTTTTTGATCATATCAACTATAAAACCAAAAAAATAAGTTGTATTTCCAAGATTTATGTAGTGGTCTGAATTCCCCAAGATCCTTCCTTCACAGATGTCTGATGTTGTATCTGATTTCATCTTAAAATCAAACTCTGTTAAGCAGAATTTCCATCAAATAATTTACTCTGACCTGGTAAGATTTGGACAGATGATATAACGAATTTACGGTATTTAAAACTCAAAACTAGGTAATGAGTGCTAGGCTGTGGGCCTTGCATTTTGGAGACCCTGAATCCTTTTGTACACATGACAACATGCGTGTGGAACGTACTTCTATAGAAGTTCTAGCTGTGAATTATGTGGTTCAAAGAATTTTCTCTTCTGCTTCAAGATCATGCTGAGATGAATTGGAATAGAATTTAATATATTACAGAACCAGAACTCAAAATCTTTCAACATGGAACAGAGTCTCATTAGTCAGAAGCATTGTAGCTATGCACTGAAGTGAGATGCTATACATTTATAATATTGGTTTATATAACTATCATATGTAGCCTTGGTCATGGAGACCACTGGTTTTTCTGGGCAAACTCTACTTTTGCTTTTTTAGCCCACCCATTAACTAAGACAAAAATGTATGGACAGTAAAAATTGAGAGGAAACTTGTTGGGAGAAGAGTTTATGCATTAGATTAGCTAGCATCTGTCTGCTCTGGTGATCTTCAGCCTTTTCACACTGGTCAAGAACATCCTGTGATAAATGCATTGAGAAATAATTACCATAAGTGACAGGCTTAGCTTGAACAAGAAAAATCCCTTTTCAGAAAAGAAGATCAAAGCCAAAGTTTGGGTTTGATCTCGAGATATATTACTTACTCCCATGGCACATCTCCAACCATCATCCAGTCCCCTTCTTGATCCTCATAAGTTAACACATGAAAATTTCCAGAATGAAGTGGTTGGGAATTAGGGCCTGAAAGAAGGAAGGAAATGAAAAACTTTCCTGATCTAAACATGATGGTACAGATTACAAAAGAAAGAAGAATCTGCAGAGGAGGGAGAGGAAGAAGATTGTAATCAATGAGGGTTTTCATTAGTGCTTACAGAGAATGGTGGTCCTGAACATGTGGCCTAAAGCTCTGACAAGCCCATCATAACTATGGTGTGCCAGAAGGTTCAATTTTCTACCAATTGGTATGCCTTCCATGTACACTTTGACAAATAAGGAAGGCCCTTGGCTCCACTGGTTTTGTTTCTCCACAAGAGTGCTTCTCAGTATGGACTTGATTGGAGGCCAATCTGAAGTTTGATTCCTGAAACATAAATCTCCAAGAATTCATTTCTGAATCATAATTTGACATACACTGAGACTATAAAACCCATGAAATTCTCAAGGTTTCAGGTTAGGAAAAAGAGAAGTCTGCAACAGGGGGTTCATATCTGCAGAAACGTACAGAAGTTTCATACACGAATCATGGTTTTATATACAGAGGCAACAACAAAACAAAAAATGGAAACGAAACCCATGAAATTCTCAAGCTTTTAGCTCCAGAAGAGGCCTATTGTACCACAAAACTTCACATATGCGGAGACAAAAAGACCATTCACTGATCATGGTTTCATATACAGAGTAACAGAGACGACATAATAGCCCCCAAAAAAAAAAAATTAAAGGAACAAAACCCCTGAAATTCTCAAGCTTTGAGCATCAAAAGAGTTAGATTCTTTGACATTACGAGAGAACAAGGGAATGGGTAAGGTACCTTGACCTGGGATTTGAATTGGAAAAGCCAGGTTGAGAAGGAGAAATGGTAAGACCAAGCCTCAGGTCAGTGATCAGATCAGTTCTGGAACTGTTAGTATTTCTACAAACACTTGAGAGACACGAAGAAGATGAAGAAGCTGCAGGTTTCACAGTCCCAGAAGGGTAATTACTGCTATCAATTGAAGAAGAAGAAGATGATGATGATGATGACTGGGTTTGCTGGCCATCGACCTGTTCTCCGGTTATCATCTTCCAATCAACCAAAAACTGATCAACACTGAAAAATAAAAAGCGGCCACATTGGCCTGCCTATATATATACACATGATATACGCAAATACAGTAAAAGGAAATTTCATTTATTAGCATTGTTGCTTTCATATTCACACGAAGCAATTAAAATTTTAATAAACAGAGTATTTGGATAACAAATCTAGATTATGGAAAAAGGTTCTAAATTGATTAATGCTTTTGGCTAGACAAGCTACTTTAAACATCCAGAGATGTAATGAGAGAGAGGAGTCAGAGATTGAATGGGTTCTTCTGTTGGTTTTGATTTGCCCTGAGGGTGGGCGACATGTCCACAAGGCCTAAGCTACATGGTCTTTAATTAATTAATTTTTTAGAAAGTTTATGTTGGTTGGAACCCTAGAAATCCACTTTATTTTTTTTTTCCAAAAATCATTTATGGGTTTATTTTATTTTTCAGGCCCTGTTATTGCTTTATTTAAATTTTTTGCGTGACACTTCCCTTCCCATCGTGTTGTGAATTTTAAAGATGAGAAAGGGCCAATGGTTTGCCTAAGGAACACAGTGGACATGCACACCATGTATGATAATTAATTAATTAATTAATTATAATAAAATAACGAAATCAAATCATTAACACAGAGAAAAGTATGGTATTGATAAAAGTACCCTTTCTCATACAAATTCATTAATAGTATGAGTATTCTTAGTTAGATATAATAATCCTATGTAAATTATATTTTAATATTAAACCTTTTTGCTCGTTTGAGAGGTTGGATGACAACATTATTTTTGTTGGTATGTTACGTTATTAGATCCTTCTCCTTTATTTATGTATATTAATGAAGTGATTTTAAAAATTCACATTTGGTCGAGCAATTTTTAAATACTTTGCATAAAATAATCAATTATATTAGCATGAAATAAAAGCTTTTTTCCCCTGTTTGTTGGCCAGAAAAATGAAAGCTTTCTCACTTAATGATAATGTCACAAGGTACGGTGACATTTTGGACCACTTGTTGTTTGAAAAACCAACGCAAGAACAAACTCTATTTTTCCAGCTGAAAAATAATAATAAAGGAAGAAACACACATCGTTTCTTGCGATTTAATTCAAAGCAAGCTTATTTTCAATACTTAAATAAATATAACATATTTTTGTTATTGCAACGGTCAGTACTGGCATCCAGGTTTTTTTCATTTTCAGCAACAAAAAAAAAATACAGCTGATATTTAAAAAACTGAAAACAATTATTCCCACTCGTGACAGTGTAATGTTAATAAAGCAACTCAAGTCTGGGCATGATTTGTTGATATTTATATGGGATATTTGGAGGTTGTTCTGCCTCCATTTTTTTTTCGTTAATTCTTTTTTGTTTTGCTCCCATTTAATTGTTCATATTAATATTATTATATTTACTATCAAGGTAAATTATTTGAATCGTAGATTTTCTTTCTTAGGCCTTTTTGTTCCCATAAATAATAATTTTTTTGTGAACAAGTTACATTTTTTTTTGCATATTTACTATCTTTAACTGACTTTAATCCATCTTTAGTTGGGAAATTAAAGGAAGATGATAAGTGAATAGGGGAGAAAGAGATGAATTAGGATCACAGAGTTAATTACCCAAAAGGATGAAAACAATGGGAAAAGGGGTTGGGAAGAGAGAGTGCATATAAAAGATAAGAAGGATGGAGAGAAAGGAATGGCAAGAGAGGGAAAATGGATTGCCTGGCGAGAAAAGGAGTACTATCCAAAGACGTTTAATGCAGCACAAGCCTTGACTTACCACAGGTCGGACCCTATTTTGGCTAAACTTGCTTGCATTTAACTCTTCCAATACTACCCTATGATCCTGACATGACTACTTCATTATTAATTCACCGGAATCCTAAATATGAGGTCCTACTAACTATTTTTTTTCAGTTATATTTATAAGACACGTATAACATGTTTCAGTAACCTAATCTTAAAATGTACTACTCCTCCGGTCCTTAATATAGGACCCAATTCTTGAGTTAGTTTTGGTCCTAAATATAAGACCCATTTCTCATATTTATCAATTTTCTCTAAATTACCCTTATGGATATTCCTTCAACCATAATTAAGTATAAGAGAAATGAGGGGTATTAAGAAATATGACTATGGTATTTTAGGGAAAATGTGCCACTTTTCTTATAATCAACTAACTTACCTAACTTCCTTAATCTAATCAAATTAGTTAAATGGGTCTTATATTAAGGACCGGAGGAGTAATAATTTTTTAACTTTATTTATATATACACTTTTCTACAAAAGCAATGAATCACAAAACCATAGTACTCCTCGGGTGGCTTTTTATAGTAAACAATCTTTCTCATAGTTATACCTCTAAATATAAGAAACAACTCATTTTTGTTTGAAATCTTAAACTAACCTTTTCATTTTTATCCGATTAAATATACGTAACTTATTATCTTTTTATAATAAATTTTTATTTATTATCTCTCATATATCATTTTTATAAAAAAGAGATATAATTAGAAAAAAATATATATTTATATATCTTACATAATAAGAAACGTAGCGAATAATAAGTTAGTGAATTGGATTGGATGAATGTTGAGAAGGCGAATAAATTAAAGAGCGGGGTTGGTAGGAAGAGGAAGCCGAGTTCAGGATGTTGGGGTAAGTATTATGTCTAGCCTCAACAGGCAATATCGGGATTGCATTGAATGGGCTCTATTAATTTCTCTGCTTTCCATTTCAAATCTGGCCAAACCACACCCCTCACTCCTCTCTCTCTTCTTTTTCCTCTTCCTACCACTTTCCCATCATCAACAACTCCCAACAATTTAAATATATGTTCACTCTTCATTATATTCTCTAACTTATTAATTAATAAATCCACTCCAATTTCTGTCTCTCACACATAGGGATAATTAATCTCCAGGTCCTTATAGTTTCATCTGATTTTTAATTGGGTCCTTATAAAATTTTTTCTTTTTATCAGATCCTTTTACTTTCGTGTGTTTTTAATTAGGTCCTTCTATTTTTTTTTCTTTTTATCAGGTCCTTATAGTTTCACTTATTTTTTAATTAGGTGCTTTGTAGTTTTTGAAAAATTATTTATTAACTTTATTCTTTAAAATTAATTTCATTTTAAATTAATAATTATATAATTGGACAAACTAATTAATATAATAATTTAGTAATTAATTAATAATCAGAATAATAATTATACTTAAGTATAAATTATTTATAATCATATTTTAATTTTAGAAAAATTTATTATTATAATTTGAATTTTATAATTATAAAAATTTGAATTGAAAATAAATAATATATTTGTTTAACTAAAAATTTAAAAGAATATTAACATAAGATTGTTACAATAATTTATTATTTTTAAAATGTTATTATTTGTAAAATAAAGAATAAAAACTACAAGGACCTAATTAAAAACAAAGTAAAACAATAAGGACCTGATAAAAAGAAAAAAAATTATAAGGACTTGATTAAAAATATATGAAAGTATAAGGACCTGATAAAAAGAAAAAAAATTATAGGGACCTGATTAAAAACCAGTTGAAACTATAAGGACTTATATATTAATTATCTCCTCACACATATCATTTAACAAGAATGATTTATATATATATATATATATATATATATATAGGATCAAATTAAACGAGAGTCTATAAAGATTAGGGTGTTACAATCAATATGTTCGACTTTGCATTCTGCACTCTGCAGCCATGTGTGAGTGAATAATAATTTTATCACGATTATGATGATTTATAGATCATTGATTAATTAAGTGCAGGTTAACATTTTAATTTAATGATGATTATACTACCTCCAGTTCTAAACATTTGAAGAGGTTAAGAAAATAAGTTAAGTTAGTTATTTATAATAAATATGTGTTGTCTTTTCTAAAATATCCTTGCCAATCAAGTGTATTGGCTACAGCTATCATTATAAAAATGACTAGCTTAAAAAAATATATAAATATAAGAGACAAAATGAATTGAAGTTTTATATTTAAGATCAAGATAAAAATTAAATAAAATTTTATATAAAAATCGTACAATTTTACAAATGATATGGACTCTGGTAATAAATAAATGGAGAGGGCTTTAACAATACTCATATCCATCTACTGACTCAAGAGTACAAGCGTGGGGCAAAAATTAAAAGGTTTTGTAATTGAATTCAATTGGTAGCGATGTGACCTTTGAAATTAATTAGGAGTGATGGGTGATCTCAAGTGACATGAATTATGCGGGGAACTTATTTATAGCCTATAGGCATTATAGACAAAAATTAAAAATAAAAAAAAATGTTGGCAAAAGTATTAAAAACTTTACAAATTGTTTTATAAATGATGCAGTCTGAATTATACAGATGTAAAAATTAATTTATGAATGTAAATTTTTAAAAATTTATTTATTTTTTAAGCTGAGGAGACAATAGGTGCATGTGAGAGAGTATAGGGGGGCGTGGTGAGGGATTAAATGGGATTAATGACACAACAAACGAATTAAAGGGAGTGAAAGTGAATGAAGTAATAATAAAAGAATAGACGACAAAGAAACATGATGTCAAAGGAGCAGCAAGGTCTTTGGAATTTGCACACCACACAATGTTCTTTTATTTCTCTCTCTCTCTTTTCCATGACCTTTTCTTCCATCCTTCACTGCTTCTCTTGCATGCAACAGCCTCCCCTTACTTGCTACCTGTTTGAAGTAGTAATTTTAGGATAAAAAAATTATCTCAATTTAAGTAAATATATTTTTTTAAAGTACGTTTGTTAATTCTTCAAACACCCCTGCAGTCATTTTAATTACTCACACACAGTCCACATTTTTTTTAATCTAAAACAGTGCAAGCTCCTACTCAGCTCCCTCCTATCCGTAAATATAAATATAACACGCTTTTAACTAATACATTTAAAAATATTAAGTTTATCATGAAATTTAAACAATTTTCAATATTAATATTCTTATTAGATACTCTAAATTTCAACGTCAAATAAATTTCCACTCTCTTTTACTGC